TTCACCCAATATCATTAAGATTCAAACTCCTTTATTTTTTATTCTCCTCCCATTTCCCCATTTTCCCCTAGTGAAAAAAAAAAAGAAACAAAATTTAAGGGAAAAAAAAAAAAAAAAAAAGGCAATTCGTGTCATTGCTTATCAATACACTTTCTTTTCTAGAAAACAGAGCTTATCGTTGACAAAAATTAAAAAGAAAAAGAAAAAGAAAAAGGAGCTTATCATTGCATTTCCATTGTGCATGCGACGAAGCCTCTCTTTTTCTTTTCCCTTCGATTCAAAGGACTACCCTTTTCCACCATGTTTGCCAATTAGGAGGGGAAAAAATCGAAGGATGAGAAAATGAAAGTAAGGGATTATGAAAAATTAAGATATTGTGAAATTTAAAATATATAAAAAAAACTTAAATATATATTTTTAATAAATTAATATGTAAATAAAATTTATTAAAAGTATTTAAAGAATTTAATAAACAATTTTATTATTTTAGATATCTAAAGGTTCTAATTTTGCTTTTCTCATTAAAGTAAAGTAACTTCTTTTGGTGCATCCGCATTTTATTAATTAAGGTCAAAGTTAACATAGAAGAGAAATTATTGGCAAGAAACGTTGAGAGAATGAAAATACTATAATTATAATATCACGTAATATTATAAATTTATATTAATATATTATTGCATAATTGATTTTTTTTAATAGTGTATTCGTAATGCTATATATATCCATTTGTTTAATTTTACGTTACACTTATTTAATTTTATGTTATTATATGATTATAAATTTATAATTTTATATAATATTGTAATTATAATATTATCATAGAAAAATTCATTTAGCCAAATAAATTGAAAATGAGAAGAAATAGCGAAACTCAACACAACCCACTAATATGATTTAATTAGAATTTAAAATGGGTCACAAATAAGTAAATGATATATAAATGTAAAAATTAATCTTTATTAACAAGCATTTAAGGTTTATGTAGATTTCAATCTAAAGAGTTATTAAGATATATAAAAGGGAATTTGGCCAAAATTGTTTGAATTGATAACATTATAGTTATCTTTTGCCGTGTGAAGCTATGGGAAAATTAAATTCTATTGACTAATTTTACCACTTGCTATACTTGTAATACTTTTAAATATAAAATTTTTTTTGAACAAATTTTCAAGGGATCGGATTCGAACCGTTGCCGTAGGGATAAGGAAATGCACTTATACATGACCGGATAGGAAAATGCACTTATACATGACCGGATAGGAAAATGCACTTATACATGACCTGACGTCACTGAACCCGAAGGTTCAAGTGCACTTTTAAATATAAATTTTAAATTTATAACATTAAATAACTTTTCGAAAGCATCTTTCCAAAATTATCAGTAAATCCAACGCTTTTTCCGTTTTTTTTTTTCTTTCATCAATCCAACATAATGATATATGTAATTCTCGTAAGAGTTAAGTTTTTTTTAAGTAAGGTTTTAAATTCGAGTTTTGTAAATGAAAAAACAAGCACTGAGAGAGTTTCCGTTAAATGGGATCCAACGTTATTCAATTTTAAATTAATTGAGATCGAATGTAATTATCATATATTAAAATATTAGTAAAAAAAAAATGGTTTTACTCATTTCTCTAATATAGGATATGGCATCCAACCCACAGTCAATAACCAAACCAGTAATGGAATATGAAATACAGTTGCCATATTCTATTTCCTTTCAATTTTTATATCTAAGTTAATCACTTGCCATATATTAAAATCGATCAATGTTTAGTTGTTCACAGGTCAACCGAATAAGCAATTATATTTCCAAAATAAGATCATATAAAAAAAATATTTCTCTAGTAGAACATCCAACAAACATATTCAATAAATCTATATCCCCGAGTCGTCATGGAAAGATATCACCCATTAACTTAATATAAATCTATACCCTATACAAATTTAATATAAATTTCAAGGGTTGGATTTATAAGTAAGCAATTTTACAAATTAGATCTAAAACAACATTGTGTTTTTTGAATGGATTAAATCGATACTGAAGGCGCACTCTTAAGATTATTTTAAAAAGAATTAATATCAAAATATATAAAAAATGATTCGAAAACATCTTGATTGTACTAAAAAAAGCAACTTGAATATGGGATAAGTGAAGATAATCCCTTTTTTTTTCTTTTTAATAGTGGGATAAATACTAATAACTTATTAATTTAAGTAAAAGGAGCTTGATTATCCTTAAATAAATTCCTATGTATGAGTATTATGAATAAAAAAAATACTGAGAAAGTTTTCCCTTACAAGGTTTC